TTTGTATTTTTAATAGATAGATATGTTAAATTTTAATAAACATTTCATCTTATTAACACATTATAATGATATTTTTTTCTTTAAAAAAGTTGTTAAAAATCTTGGTTCTATTTTACGGAAAACACAAGATGTGAAAACCAAAAAACAGAAGAAATATGATAAACTTTAATAAGCAATTTAATCTGTGATAAACCCAGATAAAGAAAGTTTTATTATAAGAAATATGACCGTTATTTTAAAATTGTATTGACAGGGACACCTCATAGCCAAATTGAGCGAGTAGCATCAAAATTCAGAGTCGCGGCGAATAACCGAATCTGTGTCCTTTCCCGTGTGACTCTGCACTCACTCACTCACTCACTCCACACTCTCTCTGCTTCACACCGCACTCTCTCCTGTGCGCTTCTCTGCTCTGCCAACTCTGAGATCTCAAAAACTCGTTTCCATCTCTATACGACACCGTTTCGATTCCAAAATCATTCACATCTTCTTTGTGACAACTTACTACATTTCTGCCTTCCAAAACAACAACCTCCGACTTTTCCGAAATGGGTTGCGCACAGTCCCGAATAGACAACGAGGAATCCGTGTCACGCTGTAAGGACCGCAAGAACTTGATGAAGGACGCCGTCGTGGCTCGCAACGCCTTCGCCGCCGGCCATTCTGGTTACGCCGTTGCACTCAAGAACACTGGCGCCGCCCTCAGCGACTACGCCCTCGGCGAGACACACGACCCTCACCCTCCGCCGCCCCTCGACCCTCCCACCGTCACCTCTGGCCCTCCACCGCCACCCCCGCCGCCCATCGAGGACTCCCTTCCTCCCCCGCCCCCGCCGCTCCCCGAGTTCTCCCCTGTACCGCTCACGCGCGCCGCCACCATGCCCGCTGGCGCCATGCACCACAGCAGCCCCGTTCCGCTCACCATCGCCGAGGAGGAGGAAGAAGAAACCCCCAAGCTGGTGAAGAAAACCGCGGGATCCTTGTCGCCGGAGATGAAGACACCGCCGCCTCCGATGCCGGAGTCTAAGGGCATGGCTTGGGATTACTTCTTCACGGTGGACAACATGCCTGGAGCTTCTCTCAATGGTGAAGATGATGATGATGATAATAACGATAATGATGATAATGGTGATGCTGATGGTAAAATGGAGAATGTGGTTGAAGACGAGGTTGAGCCTAAAACTCCAGAGAAAGTGCAGGATCATGTACACGAAAACATTCATGAAGAGCATGATGAGATAAGTGAGGCAAAGATGCACATTGAGCATTCTAAAACTGCTCCAGCTGAGTTTAGGAGAGCAATAAAGGTGGTTCCTTCCGTTACTCTGATGCAGATTCTCAGTGTCCTTGATGATCACTTTTTGAAGGCTTCCGAGAGTGCTCAAGAAGTTACCAAGATGCTTGAGGCTACTAGGTTGCATTATCATTCCAATTTTGCTGATAATCGCGGTAGGGATGATTTGTTTCTTTCTGTTTTGAAATTTAAGTTTGTTGAATTGCTGAGATTGTTTAATTTCATGTGATGGTGATATGAACAGGGCACATTGATCATTCTGCTAGGGTTATGCGCGTCATAACTTGGAACAGGTCGTTCAAAGGTGTGTCCAATGGGGATGCTGGGAAAGATGATATTGATTCCGAAGAGTATGAAACTCATGCCACTGTTTTGGACAAGTTGCTGGCCTGGGAAAAGAAACTTTATGAAGAGGTCAAGGTAGGTGTCAACGTCCGTGATCTTGTCTACACTTTTCATTATGTTTAATTTTTTTCATTCTTGATAGAGAGTATTAATATTTTCTTGTAGAGTTCAATATTTAGACATTTCTGTGTAAAGAAAATTATATTGTCAATCATTCAAACATTATCATTAGCATGACTTTTAATCTAGTTATTATCGAAGTCAATGAACTTAACATACATGAAGGTTTGTGATTATATGACAATGTAAATATGCTTTACACTATCATTACATGTACCTTTTTCTCATATTTGTATTCATGTTTTGTTGATTTATGATTTTGAGTCACAAAACTTCACTCCTTGTCAACAGCAAGGTGAGCTTATGAAGTTCGAGTATCAGAGAAAAGTTGCAATTCTAAACAAGCAGAAGAAGCGTGGTGCCAGCGCTGAATCCTTGGAAAAGACTAAAGCAGCCGTTAGCCATTTGCATACAAGATATATTGTTGACATGCAATCCATGGACTCAACAGTTTCAGAAGTGAACCAGATTCGAGATGCTCAGCTGTATCCAAAACTTGTGGCTCTTGTTATTGAGTATGTATTACTGATAAGAAATTTTAAGAGACGTAATGGTATTATTCTGTAGAATTTGATATTTTATGGATTTTAGTTGCTATGTTTGAATGACTAGTCAGAGGAAGAAACCCACGTCATTGTGAACTTTCTTTCAGGATTGGCAGTGTTCCGAACTTCTAGCTTGTAGACCTAAATTAGTTTCAAATGTGAAACATTGGTGCATATTACAATCCAGCATCCTAGTAATTGGTTTTTTAACCTTTAAAAAGCCTTTCATAGTGAAGTTTAGTTCTTGGCAGTTTATGTGCCATTTAAATTCTGACCTTGGATACTGAAGTCCATTTTTTTACTATAGAATACAATTAATCACTATAAGAATTATGTTGCTGTACATGTATAGTTTCCTAGTTGTTCTCAATACCTAGACGCTACTACTAGATCCTAAATTCTGAGCGAGGAGTGTTTTGTGTTTTGTTTTTATCTTGCTTTTCTACTAATTTGTTTTATTTTGTCTTTTTTCTGTTGCTGAGGATGTAGACTGATGAACATTTCATTACTATAAAAATTGTCAATTCTTTTATTATTACTAAAATAAGAATGATATGACATATTTACTTCCCTAGCTTTCAATTTGCTCTTATACTTACTACAACTGAATCCAGAATTTTTAATTCATGCATGTGATTGTTTTATCTTGCTACTTCTTCCACTATGTTACGAATTTTTATTCCACTGAAAGGGGAAACTTAAAGTATTGCACCATTATTGGTTCCTAATTGTGAATCCACTTGATTTTTCTTCAGGATGGCAAATATGTGGGAACATATGTGCACATATCATGACAGCCAGCTGAAAATAGTTACGGACCTCAAATCTCTTGATATTTCTCAAGCTCCTAAGGAAACAACAAAGCATCATTACGAACGCACTTTGCAACTTTGGAATGTCGCCCAAGAATGGCATTTACAATTTGAGAAGCTTGTGACTGAACAAAAGCATTACATCAAAGCTCTTAACAGTTGGCTAAAATTAAATCTCATCCCTATTGAAAGCAACCTTAAAGAGAAAATATCATCTCCGCCTAAAGTGCAGAATCCGCCAATCCAATACCTTCTCCACGCGTGGCATGATTATGTTGACAAGCTTCCTGATGAGCTTGCCAAATCTGCTATTTCCTCCTTTGCTGCTGTGATAAAGACCATCATACTTCAGCAGGAGGAAGAGATGAAGTTGAAGGAGAGGTGTGAGGAAACCAGAAAGGAATACTTAAAGAAAAAACAAGCCTTTGAGGAATGGTACCAGAAGCATTTACTGCGGAAGGGGCCTGAAGAAGCAGAACATGAAAGGGGAGAGGAAGTGAACACCAACAACCCTGTCTCGGACAGACAATTTGTCGTTGAGAGCTTGCAGAAGAAATTAGAAGAGGAAATTGAATCTCACCAAAAACATTGTGTTCAGGTGCGAGAGAAATCACTACAGTGTTTCAAAACTCGCTTGCCTGAACTCTTCCGTGCTTTGTCAGACTATTCTCATGCCTGTTTTGATGCTTATGAGAAACTGAAGTCAATAACACATTCACGGGGTGGTGGGGCATGAAAAATTAAGTTTTTTGGTCCACTTTTGTGAAGATTAGTTTATGTATTCCGAACCTATGTAGTGTGTTATTGTCCTCACACAAGAAGGCATTCATATTTTAGCTTGACGTGCAGAATTATCAATCTTGTGTGAAAATTTTGCCATAGCTTTTAAAGTTCTAACCGTCTTTTGTTTATGTACTCATTTTGCATGAGCCAATACATTAGTTCGAGGTTGTTGCGTCATGACATTGATTTATTGGTCCTGGAAGTTTATTCATCCCATTTAGTCCATATCAAAAAAAGATCATTATTTTTATTCACTTTAGTCGTATGTTGTGACTTGTCATGTTACTGAAATTTATTTATCTAAATCATGAATAGTGCATAGTCATAGAAGACTGTATATTATAACCCTTTACTGTTGAAAATAAAGGTGGAAATGAAATCTCATCTATAGCAGCTGTATTTGTTTTTGCCATATAAAAATTGGTAGAATAACTTGAATTCCCCAAAAGATGCTCCCAGCACAGTCCATCTGAAATTTATGAAAGGAATATATGTCATATAATAAACATCATTTGGAATTCCATCTTGTGATGGTACAATAAGAAATCACAAGTTGACAGAAACATAAAATGAGGTGTCATGACTAAAGTTGAGAGGTGTCACTCTTGATAAAACCTAATATTTTTATGATATTTCAAAGGATCCAATCCAAGTGAGAACCTAGAAGGAGTTAGGCAGCTAGCAAACAATGACTCTTTTGGCTGTTTTATTTTGGCACATAGAGACTTATCTTTTTCATCCCATGGTGGTTGTCACATGCGTCTGTTCTAGAATCCAAACTGCTTCCTGTCACGGTTGGCGGCGGTTCAGACTTAATGTCACCCAACATATTATTATATGAGAGATAAGATTAAAAATACCAAATCTTAAACAAGGGGACTTAACATTAGAAACAGGGTAGTTAGGCTCTGGAAAGCCTAAAAAGAAAGGACCAAAAGGGTAAGTGAACACCCCATATTTTGTCCCCAATAATACATCCTTGTACGCAGAAGCTCCTTTACTCTGCATGTGACTTTGCTTCTGCATGCTTGGTGCCTTTATAGAAAATCTCATCTTGATTTGCAGCTTTAGGTGTGAAGGAGAACTAAGCAATCTCAGCAAATGGATGTGAAGAAGTACTGGTTTGGTTCAAGAAGTCAAAGGACACAAGACATCAAGTTAGGCCGGAGCTACACAAAACCTCACAAAGATGGCACAAAAACAGTGTGGCAGATGCTTTGGAGAAAACTGAAAACATCAGCAGATAAGAAGAGAGTATTCAGTTCTCCAACTTCAATGGAGGGTGTTTATGATCCACAAACATACTCAATGAACTTTGATCAAGGAATGGGATGGATGGAGCCAGACAACCTCCCTCGTTCCTTCTCAGCTCGCTTTGCCGATCCATCTAGGATCTTACCACCAAAACATTTGTTAGATTGAGAGACAACCTCTCGTGCAAACACAAAATTTGATACATTTCATTATGTATTTCTGGTCTTGTTTTTTTAATCAGAATTGGAGTTCCGTTGATGTGTAAAACTGCATCTAACTTTTGTGCTTAGTGCCACATCTACCTGTAACTATTCTCTCCAAAACTCCACCTCTCTATGGTCAGAAAAAAACTTGTCTCTTTCTCTTTTTCTTATTTTAGAGTTCATCTTTGCAATTTGGTTGCACATGGCTAAATGCTTCTATCTCTCTTCTCACCCCCATTTTTGTCTTGAGGTGTTTATATATCACCACTGTTTTTAGCTTTTGATATTGTTCTGGATAAAAGCTTGAATCAACTCAGGATTTTAGCACTTTATGCTATTTGTTAGAGAAACAATTATGCATGCATAGTTTTTGAGAGCATTAAAAGTTCATTTATTAGAGAAACCCTGAATTCCTTTCTTTCAATGAACGCCATTGTAGAATTTTGATCTTAACTTCTGGTTTCTGTGTTTGTTATTCACGTCAATTCAATAATGTTTGGTTGTTGATAGTTGACTTCATTATTGCAATAAAAGGGAATAAATAAAAATCAGAGCTTGAATGTTTCAACTTTCAAACTTTTTGTGCCTTACTTTAATGAAAATCAAGATGCTGACGAAACTCCGGTCGCATACTTAGTATAGAGAAGTTCTTTTATATCTTATATTTATGTAGTTTCGGGATAAATTACTATC